GTGAGATGATGGGCGTGGCAGCGCTGAAATTTCAACCCTAAAAGGGACCAATCAATAACAGGTCATTTTGTTTTGGTTTACCGATTTTATTTGTGTTTTTATACAATCATCGAACACCGTCGGCTCGTATTGAGGTTATGACGACGTTGCCATTTTATGACTGCTTAGGGTCGCCGTATACCCTAAAAGGGACCACAAAACACAGTTGGTAGGAATTCTTGTCATATCACCCTAAGCGGGACCAAAATACTAATTTCAAACCCTAAAAGGGACGCCGAGGACCCCCGCCCTTTGATATTAGGGAGTCCCCCCCTCGGGGCTTTCGGTCGTGCAATAGCCGTTCGAGCATTGACATTCGCCATTTTATCCGACTACCTTTTTTGAAATAGCTATATACAATATGAGCGGGCGAATAATGCATGAGCTATTACTCCAATAAGGGCTGTCCATTTAATCAGGTGATTGACCTTGTAAATCTGATACAACACTATGAGTTATCATTGATAAACGATTTACATCAAAACTCGATACACTAAAGTTCTACTTTYGGAAAGAATGTTAAWAATCCCAAATTTCTAGTCTTTCTGAGCATCWATCCACAATGTAAACATACTGTGACGTCATTATGCCATAGGGCAATATTACACTTGCAATTTTTGCTTGCAATTTTTGCAGCGCGATTGTCACGCGACAATCGCCTTAGTTTCGAACATGCTTGAAATTTAGCTGCAACTCGCGGCGATTTTTGRTCGCCTTGACAATCGCGGGGCTGTTTACACGTACGATTTGAGGTGCGAGAGAACAAAGTGGCGATTGTCGCGCGACAATCGCGCTGCAGAAATTACAAGTGTAAACGGGCCTTTACGTAGTGTAACAAGCACAATACAAGGTTCCCAAGAATAGCAAGTGTGATATTACTACACAGGGTACCCAAGCACACGTGTTCACATACAAGATTACAATRTACCACCGGTGGTCTTTTGATTATCTTTTAAAATATCCACATAAATTAACGTTTGAACTTCCAAATACTTCCAAATTCTTACGGAGGGAGGGAAATTTTTCGTTTTCACCCATGTGATAATTCTGGCATAATCAGGACCTCGTCGAAATTTCAAAASCTTTATTCATAAACGTACTGAAATAAAAGATTCATATTATTTTTGAGCATTCAAAACTACGTATATCCGCTAAGTTAAGAGTTGGTACAGCGTCTAGTTACTGAATCATTTGCGATTGAATATGAATCTCTATTTGATGAAAAAATATATGCGGCAGCCATGCTGGAAGACGTCTCATGTTCTCCAGCATAGCGAATGATACTTTAAAGGTCTGAGAAGAAGGCAAAATCGAATAATTTTGATCATTTTCTACAATRATACACTTAAAATGGATACAAGGGATACTATATGAGGCTAAATCTCAAATTTATATCGATTTTTTCATTCACGTGACGTGACTGCCATTGCGTAGCACAATTCACAAGCCYAAATATTTCGGGAACTGAAAAACTTTTTATATGAGCCCAAACCTTGGCAATGTCTTTCCATAATAGTTATCTKYCATATATACAACTGGCGTTTCAATTCGACCTTAATTTTATATATCGTTCTTTTGTTGACATCATATGAAAACGAAAATTTTGGACGGCGAGTACCTTGAAAAGCACACAAAAATCAAAAGAGATTAAATAGGGTAAAAGGGACTGCGTAATATTTAGTGGGTGGGAGAGTATGAGGAATGAGCTAAAAAATCAAAAAAGCTAGAAATTCCCCCCTCCCCCTCCCCCCATTAATTTACTGATTGGTTGTACGTGAATAAAAATTTGTCGCAAACTGTGACAAGCTTTTCTTGAGAAGTTTCCGGAATCCAACACCGTTGATCTGGCAGATTCCAATTTTAAAAAATTCTGGTTAATTATAGACGTTGATCCCCCCCCCCTTCCCCCCTACACACACACACACAGACGCACCGCCCCATAACGTAAAAGGGCTTAATCAGAACTATAAACTACGAAATTTTGAGGTCTTTACATTAAATAGTTTATGAAATATTAGTGTAAAATATTTTAGTTTTCAAAACCGTTTGACGCAATTTATTTCATATGAGAAGCTCAAAATTGCGAGGAAAGCTTATTGTGCCATGTTGCTGTTTCAATATTCAGTGCTGATTTACTGATAGTTAGGTTAAAACGGCATTGTTTACGCTAATGATATGCTAATGAACCGAAATGTAAACAAATTATTCATCTATACATCCCTAAACATGTGAAGTTTTTGTCGGCGTTTTTTATCAAAACAAGTTTAAAACAAGGGGCCGGTGATAAATCCCCTTTCGAACGACAAGGCGTCCGACTGAGGTACGCAACCTGTTACAAGCAACTATGACCCGTCACTATGCTAACCATCTGAWGTTCGACCTTTGATTGAATGGTGGTACCAGTTTCAATAAACTTACTCTCAGTTTAGATGTATGCTATGTTCTACCAGACTGGTTGCATGTAAATTGTTTTAAAAAAGGGTTTTTCATCTGTGGATCATGTCATCCGAAAGGCTAGAGATGAGGCGCGATATTTATAGGCGAGTTTACATTTCGGTTCATTAGCATATCATTAACATAATCATATACCGTTTTTTTAAAACAGCACTGAATACAGCCTTTTGCAAAAATTATGAGAATTGTCTAAATATCTAAATATCATAATATCCATATCCATATATTGTCCGGAACACGCGGGTTTGCTAGAATAATTCATTGTTGACATCGAGAAAATGTTCAGAACTACGGATAAGTCTGTCGCCAAAAAAAAACTAAACTACAAAGACAAGGGACTAAGGGCATCGCGCGAGATTACCCATCATACACTCGATATTATGATATTTAGATATTTCACCAATTCTGTCCAAAATTTCTGTCCAAACTGATAGGATGGAAGACGTTTCGCGCTCACTTTAAAGAAATCCTACGAATCCACCATTTTCGTGTAAACCGCCTTTTATGGTTCCTCAGCTCGCAAGGTACAGCGGTCGATTGATTGATTGATTGATTGGTTGATTGATTGATTGATTGGTTGATTGATTGGTTGATTGATTGATTGACTTATCGATCGATTGATTGGTTGATTGATTGATTGATTGATTGATTCGATTGTGTGGTTGATAACGATTGAATGTTCATCCTTTTCTATGTGTGTTGCAATTCTTTCCAATTAAAATCAGACGTTTTTATACAATCAACGTCATATTCTGCGTGTGATAATCACTAAATAAGGTCTAAAATATCCAAAAGGTGAAAGGTTGAATATYTATTTTACACAAATTAAACYACCGTGTTGGTAAAAACAATCCCAAAAATGTTCCCACTCGAAGAATTGTAGCGTGACTTTGGGAATATCAACGTTGCTACAATCTTCAAACGGCGTGTAAAACGTAAACACGATACAATAATTAATACAATGATCAAAAATACCCTGAAACTGAACTAAAAATAACGTCGTAATCACTTTATCCAGCAAAAATAAATCTGMAAAGTTTCCAGAGCTTTTTCATTCATGTAATAGAGTTTTTAGATAACTAAAGGTTTGGTTCTCACGGAATCATTGAAACACTTTACTGGTGTATTGTTCTGTTAAAATGACATCATTATTGCATTTAATGTATACGTATGGAGAGTAATTTACCCTGGGGCGAAAAACTCAAAACACATCAATTCCGCCATAGAAAAAAAAGTCGAAAAACTTTCCTGATTTATTGCGCAATGGTTTTMATTTGTATATGTCGATCGTTCGAATAAGCAAATGTKTTTTGGGACTGACTTAACGTGATATTTTCACTTGAAGTACAGAGAGTTAATAGCAGTACTCCATGGAGTTCACGTTCCCACGACTYGATATTATMCCAGGAGTCAAGGTGATGCGTACTGAGCTCTTTCGCGTGCGTCACGGGTACTGAGCGCGGCTTAGACGTCACGCAATCCTCCCAGGAAACTTCGATTATTTTGATATGGGCCACAGTGGAATTGTGGTTATAACGGGGGGGAGCCGGTTACAAGGAAACGAAAAAGTGACAATAAAACTGAGAATAAAAATGTGTAGATATTGTGGATTAGAGGAACATCAGTATTTCATATCAGTATTTTGCTGTTGCAGTAATTGTGCATTTACGATTTTCATTTCAAAGAATGTGGACTTTTTCACGATATCAYGTAGACTTCCTGATATAGTTTCTGAATTTCTAAGTTGCAGTGATAATTGAGGAAATCTTCTACGAGCTGCAAGCGAGTAATTCCAAAATAAATGTTGCAATAGACATCTAGAAAAAGTGGATAAATTTAGCCACTTCTACATTTTTATCCTCTCGAAATGAGGCTAAAATTCTAAAAGGCAAAGTATATTTTAAAACTGAAGAAAAAAAGCGTTTTATGCTGTTACAAAATCTTCATTTTTGTTTTGCGCACTGAATGTGGCTATACAGCAGCTCTTAGTCTTCTGTAGTAAGTCCTTGTATGAAATAGATGGACCCTGCTGCCGTTAGAGAAAATGGAGTCCCATCTGTAAAAAAACAACAACAAAAACAGCAATGACTTCTTGTATCGAAGAACGCAATAATTAGACTTGTGTTAAGTCGTCAGCTACTTTGATATGCCATCAAAAGTGTCTGCCATCAGAAATACAACAAAATATTTCTTTTAGTTGTACTATTATCACCTTGACCTGCTCAACCTGTCTGTCTCAGAGCCAACGACGTAAAAGTTGGTTAAATTCTTTTTTACCAAAGTGATTTAAAATTCCATAACAAAACGACTTRAAACATGCAACGTTCATTTCATTTAAACCAAAAGACAGCAAGCACGAGGCGTTACTACAAGGAAATCAGTCTACAAAACAATCTACCAGTTCATTCACCTTTTCATAATAGTATAATATGTAGATACCTGTTAAAGTTTTCAAGGTTATCAATTTCTCGTCCCCCACGCAAGCCACAACACAATCAMAACAACGGTTAATTTCTTCACATTGTTGATATTTTATTTCAAAGTTGGCTCGTTTGAATTTCGTACAATGTACATAGTATTTACACGGCGATTATCCTTATTTAGAATCAGTTTTACCATAAAATCGTAAAAAATATATTATCGCTATAGATTAATTTCGTTACTCTTTTCAGCTGAAGAACTGCTGAATTTCCCCTTTCAAGAGTAAAGAACTCAAAGTTAACTAAACATGTTAAAACCAAGGTCAATTATAAGTTACTACTAAATATAAACTMAACGTTGAGTTGTCATGTAGACAAAGCTTTGTGCTTGGGAAAACGGAACAAAACTGCTTTTTTCTGCGTTGTCTTTGTTCTCTTTTCCCAAAGGTAACCCGAAAGCTACGTAAATTAAGCTACGTAAATTAAACTGCTTACTTTCACTCAATTTTGCCCGTATTGGCAGTACGTAAGAACGTTTAACATTCAACAGTAATACAACGGATGTATATTTAGTATATATGGCCATCATTGAAAAGAATCTGAACTGAAGGTCTGTSTCTTACGCGTGTCTTTGATACGCAACGCGACACAACTTACGCAAAGCAACACTGTTTCAGTTCAGGTTCACTCAATTTATACGGCGGAATTATCTTGAAGATCTATAGATTATCAATCGAGTAGAACTCTTCAGGACAAACAATAATATGCTTATCTGTATTTGGGGGAAAACAGATCACGACAATATTTTACTCTACCGGTGGGYCAGTCATTCATGTAAGTTGCATTGAAATGCCTTATGCTATATATAATCGAACAATACAGCACGAGGCATTTCGGTTGTGTTTACATGAAGTACATGGCTTGCATACATGGTTGTGCATTGAACATCGATAAAATCTAATCTAATTTCTTTGTTTTAAAATTCTTAATTTCTATAAATCGATTTAATATTTTTCTTATTTTTCGCTGATTAAGACCCGTAATATCACAGGTCATATAGAAATCATATGTATAGCTTTGGTGCGAATTGTGTTTTAAATATATWGCCCACGACATAAAAACGACGTAAAAAAAATTAAACGAAATAAAAGCCCTCAGCACTACTGTAGTGTACTGTACGAATACTTAGTACTGTATATAAATAATATTACTTTATAACCCTATAAAGGTGAAAAAAACTCACAAAATCACATGTTTTGCAAGTAAAATCTTTCACCTCATTTACCAAAATGAGATCTCGAGCCGAAAAAATAAAATATGTGGATAAAAAATGGACAATAAGATATTCTACATTCAAAATGTCTATCCCCTACAAGTATAAAATGTTTCTGATTTCATTTATAGATAAGTAACTCTTTGCGTTACTTTTTACATCAGAAACACTAACTTCTAGTTAGTCTTATATAATATATAGTTTTCTATATCTTTGCTTCTGTACATATATGCAGTGGATAATATTATAGGATAYGAATATTATGCGACTCTCACCCCCACATTGTTGGGTACTGTTCACGTGTCCTAACACGACCAATCAGAGTTCAGCGAATGTGGAGACGATGACCACCCCTCCTCGGGCGAGTCCGGCGATGGTGTCAAATAACTGACGGGTAGTTTTTGCGGCGAGGAATCGTACGTCGTAAAGGAATGAACTGATGGAGGCGTAGGATAATTCTCGTTGTACACCAGATTATTCGGGTGTTGTTGTATGTGTCGGTATAATTGATTTTGATTGTTGTACGAGTCCTTTCTCGATGAATGAACCATACCGTTGGACATTGCGCATGCTTGGATGGCTCTGATATTTGATGGATATCCGTTTTGYATACGTTGAGCTACAGTTGTAACATTTCTGTCCGGTACTACAGTTAAACGCCGTGGCTCATTGTCCACATTATAGTGAAGATTCGGGCTGCTTTGAGCCGTCGAAAGCCTCATACCCGAGCTATATTCCCGCCGTTGTGGTCGTGCCGGATGATACATACAGTCCGACGTATTATTGATTTCATCGCCAATTGTCGTAACAGTTGTCGGCAGCATGCACGACATCGATAAAGTGTCGGGCACTACGCCACAGTCTGCAGGACCGAAGTCTGTAGAAAGTTCGGGATCATTTAAATTAATGTCATCAAAGTCGATGCCTTGAAATTCATCTAAATCGTAATTATCGCCGAGGACATCGTCAAACGGYGAGTCTGTGAACACTGGTGGAGAACCAGTGTCTTGCGGAGGTGACAAAGTTGTTGAATTTGAAGGGGAAATCCCYGTGCCTGAGCTACCCTGGGGAGAGAACCCGTTCGCAACGGAAGACATGTAGTTTGGAGAGAAAGTCGCCCCGCTGCTACAAGGYGAGTGTTGCTTTTCTTGTGGTGAATAAACAGTAGTGCTCTCGCTTGGTTTTCTCGTGTTAGAGCTACTACTACTGCTATCAGTGTTAGCTTCCTCATCCTTTCGAGGTTGTCTTCTTCTTTTTCTCTTGGCGCCGCCATTAACACCMGTCTTTGATCTAGCACCTCGAGCATTATTTGAACTCGTTGACGACATCTTAGGTCTTGCGGAAGTTGTAAGTGGAAAATGTGTGACAACCGCATTGCCGTTTTGCAAATGCTCTAAACATGGAGGAGAGGTCGTTCCATTAATTGGCGACTTGTGATCTGGTGGAGACGTCGGTGCTGGKGCTGCTTTGGGCGAGTTTCCGCAGCCCAGCGACCAGTCTGTCAGTAGTTGTACAATATCGTGGTGCATCTTTTGTCTAGCGATACTTTCTGGTGTTTTATCCATGTTGTCTGCGATATTGCGGTTYGCGTAGTTCACGAGTAATATGCGAACTGCTTCAAGGCTTCCCTCGCGTGCACCGAGGAACAATGGAGTTTGACCCTGAAAACGAGAAATAGCAATGCGGTTAACGAAAATCAAGAAAAAAATAGGAGGCTTTGGTGAGATTTCAGTTGATTTACAAAGAGTACAAAAAGCATAAACAAAAATAGAGGATCTTTTGAAGAAACTATCTTGCTGGCTATCCGCCACTGATAAGCAGAAAAAACGGGATGGAGACTAAAGTCTTATAACATCTGATTACGTTAAGTGAACTGTAATAAGGTCTTGAAATGACACCCTATCCGGACCAGACACAACGGTCCCACAGCGCACTTTAGTGAAGTGTTTACAATAATAGTATCTCGTTAAATATTTACAGAGAACATGTGTTAATGACGACCTCGCGCCTTTGCGTACCTTTTCATCTTGAAGATCTTTTTTCGCTCCATTTTTAGTCAATTCAGCAGTGACTTCGTGACTGTTTACGGAGGCGGCCCAATGTAATGCCGACTTGCCTAGGTAGCAATGGAATAAGAACTGTTACTGACTAGGATAATACATCGAAGTTCTCGAAAAATAATGATTACAAAAAAATATCCCAATTACATCTGTTCATAGTTTTCTACATTTATAATGAATACAATTGTGAAAAAAACAATTCCTCAGTAATAATTAATCATACGTTTTTATGATAATAACACAAAMAAATGCAGAAAAATAATCATTAATTATCATTATCATAAAAGTAAAACAAAAAGAGAAATCGAAGCTTGGAAATCCTCACATTTTTCCAATTATAAATCGATCACATAGCGATCAGAATAAAAGATTGCGACTCCAGAAAGATCAAATATGCTTTTCATAAATTACCGTATGACCTTTTAATACTGTGATTTACCAGACGGATTAATTACAATCTAATTTAATCAGTTTAATTCTTGACCGTCTGTTGGGTTCGGGCATAGTTTTAATATCTCCCCAAGGCATTTGGATAAACTGTTTTACCTTTGTTATCTGTATTATTCACTTTGGCTCCCGCTTTGATGAGGTCTCGGACAATATCAACGAGGTCGAACCGTGCTGCTAGGATGAGAGGGGAGGTGCCGTCGTCCATGCGCGCTTCAAGATCCGTGGCTCTGTTTCGAAGGAGAATCTGGAAAGGATAGAGGAAATATGAGCGATAACTCAATGAAGAATTCGTTGACGCAGTTATCACTATTATCATCACCAACATCATCATAATCACCATTTATCATAACAATCATCAGCTCTATAAACATCATTTGCACAACTAAACGCCATCMTAGTTACRCATACTAGAYTTTGCTACACGGATGAACGAGTTCCATTCTATTACTACCCCTTTCATATTATATCGTTCCATCTCTCAATCAACGTACATTAGACTGCAGTCTGTTGTGCARTCAATTCTTCCACTGATCTTACCTGGAACACGCCCTGAGCATCAGATCCCACGGCTAAATGTAATGGCGTTCTCCCAAGGCGGTCCTTAGCATTAGGATCTGCACCAGCATCAAGAAGCCTTTTGGCAGCATCAGCCCGAGAATATCTCGCTGCAAGGTGAAGAGGTGTTTCTTGGAATTCATCGGTTTTTGCGCCGTAACTCGCGCCAAGAGAAAGCAAGTCCGACACCATGATACCACCACTGTCGTCRCTATCTTTATCATCGTCAATGCATCCATCTAATAGTGTCCCTCGACATGAGGCAAGATGAAGTGCCGTGAATCCCCCGGGACCTCGGGCGTCAACGCTGTTATCCACCCCTCTTTCGCCTTCTTGTGGTGGCGTTAGAGCAGAGCAGTTACGTACATTGACATCAGCAGCTTCCTTGTGAAGTCTTGTCCACTTTCGCATATCCTTTTCCACGCTTCCGACTTCCTTACAATCTTGATCTTCAAGCTTGACCCTTTTGCTATCCCTGGCCTCGCTAGGTGGTGTAAGATCTGAGCGGTTGGATAAAGTACCGCCACCCACCGCACCTTCTTCTTCTAAATTGGTCGAGCTCTTGTTCATAGACCTTTTAAAACATTGAAAATATACTTAGTTCGTTGAACAGCAACTGTGAAAATTTTATACTAATATGGAGAAGAATTGAAACGACTGACAATGTTCAGTTGATAACAGTCAATTTTACACTTATAATACTCGAAATTTGGTGAATACCTTTTACAACTACTAAAAAGAGGATACTAAACTTGGTACATTTTTTCACGTATGAAGAGTAGTCCGAAGACAAAAAAAAACATTACCAATATATTCAGTTACACACCTCATTGATACTTCTTGCCCGACAGGCTCCCGCCTTAACGATCTTCTTTGGTGAATGAGTCTAGGAGGAAAGCCCTCGGGCAGCCAAAGTTTGGTGTACATTCTCTTTCCACCAGCCAAAACACCAACGATGAACAGAGGAATTCCAACACAGAGAATGGCAATCCACAATGGACTTGGCTTGAACGTTGTTTTGGGTTCTTGCGTGGGCTTGTCTTCACCTGAAAATACATCAAATGGTATCACGAATAATTAGAAGGAATACTCAACTATACAATAACTTTGACAAATTTTAATACCGTGAAGAACCGCTGTATTTTACTTACTTTGTACTGAATAAATGCCGTATGGTAGTTTCAAATCTTCATGAGAAGCTAAGGCGCCAAGGTATTTCGCAGCCTGAAAAAATAGAATTTTGGTTAGGCAGTCGCCATTGAAGTAAAGGTGCTCGGTGGATCGATACTTAAGTTGTTGGAAAACTTCATGCAAATCTAGCAAATTTCTGACTTGTCAGAAGCCAAACTTGGGCAAGTCATAGCAAGTCACTTACATTTCCTGCATTATCAAAGCAATTATCTTTACATGCTCTGTTGTCCATTTCCACGTGTACTTCAGCTCTAAAATCAACAAGAAACAGACTGAGTACCATCACACTTCACTAAAAATATATGTGTATGAGACAATATCTTTGAAATTTCGGCAATACAGAGGTTGCCATATGAGTACAATCAAATCAAGACAGACTTGAATAGAGTAGTAATATCCCTCGAAACTTTGGGGGGTGGGAACCGACATTTAATTAATTTAGAAAATTAAAATTAAATAAAAAATTCAAAGAAAAAATTAAAGAAAAAGAAAAGAAAGAAAAAAAATTATATTTTTTATTTATATTTTCGTTCGTCATCTCAAGTGTTGCTGTCTGTAAAATCGTACAATCTTAAGTCCTGTGGTTATCGTTCGTTTTCTGTTGCTGCTCCCATATTATGGAACTCTCTACCTGCCTCTATTAGAAATATTACTGACATTAACTCTTTTAAATCCTGCCTTAAAACTTATTTTTTCAAACTTGCCTTTAATTTGTAAATTTTATTTATAATTTGTAATTTTTTATCTATTTTTTTTTCTTAGCGCTTAGATCTGAGCTGTATAAGCGCTTTAAAAATTAACATTATTATTACTATTTTTATTCATTTTTAAATGCGCTYTTGAACTTTAGACACTGTTCACGTGTCATTACCCCGAAGACTCGTCAAAGGCTTACCCGTTCTTTGCATTGCTGGCACGTCTAGAGCGTCCACTTCTATAGTCGTCCACATCAATATACAAAATATCTTTTGCTGACCTTCTCTTTCTGTCGACTGGTACAGGTGCAGAGGGCGGCAAAGGAAAGGGTTTTACTATTGGCCTGTCGTTCTCATCTCTTTTTACAAAAGTTATAGTGTTAAGAACTCTTGAAAGCTCCCTCATGAACGCCCGCGATCCGTTCAAGAAGGCTTTAGGTGTCACTAGAAGAACAATGACAAGAGTGCCTTCAACCCGCTTGGGTACGTCCACATTGCAGTCAAGACCGTCATCCAAGCAGCCAGGGATGTTGCAAACCTTGTCGCATCTGGTGTCCGCAAAACGGGGTGCGCAGAACGCATTGCGAGGACAGGAAGGAATGGGCTTTTTGCAATCAAAGCCATCCATAAGGCAAGATCCGGTGTTACATTCTTGATCACAATGGCCGTTGTTAAAGACCTCATAACAGGCTTTGCCCGATTTTGTGATGGTTGTGCAGTTCGACCACGGTTTGATTCCCAGAGAACATGTTGTACCATCCCAATTACACTCGTAGTTATTGCACTTTTGCTGAAAGGTTAAGGCCTCACGTTAGTCAAACAGCTTAAAAAAACGTCAAGTAACTTTCACAAATCAATTGTTCACTTAAGACCCAAATGGGAGGAGATGAGCACTTCTGCCTTTCATATAGACTAGAAGCTATTCACTCCAAAACTAAACAATTGCTAACTACCGAGCAGTATTCCCGAGAGGTTTTAATGTATTATTTGCGTTGTTTGAGCGCATTTACTTACCACGCATCTGCCTCCATCAAAGCTCTTGGCACAGTCTTTGTGTAAGCACTTATCTTTCACCAACACTTCACAGTTCTTACCCACCAACTTGGCCGGACAGTCACATTTGTATCCACCAACAAGATCTCTGCACTTGCCACCGTTTTGGCACGGCTGGCTCTGGCATTCATTGACACTGGTCTGACAGCGATTTCCAGTATACCCACGTGGACACTTGCAGGTATAACTCCTAAATCCATCAACACATGTTCCACCGTTTTGACACGGGTCAGATAAACAGTCATCTTTGTTCCATTCACAATGTATTCCATAGACACCAGGCTTGCACGTACAATTGTATGAGCCTTTATAATTATGGCATGTACCTCCATTTTCGCAAGGTGAATCACTACACGAGTACACTCGCCGTTCGCAGTTTTCGCCCGTAAAACCCTGAGGACACAGACATGTAAACGAACCAGCGCCATCTTTGCATGTTCCCCCGTTAAGGCATGGATATGAAAGGCACTCGTTGATGTTAATCTCGCACTGTTTTCCAAGAAATCCGCGTTTGCATTGACAATGGTAACTGTTGACTAGATTGAAGCACTTCTCCGTACCAATTCCTGAACAAGGATTCGAAGCACATTCGTCTACATCGATCTCACATCTTGATCCAGTGTAACCAGGTTTGCAGGAGCACTGATAACTTGCAATGCCATCTTTACATGTACCACCGTTAAAGCAAGCGGTAGCAAAGCAATCATTTGGGTTGCTGTCACAACGAGCGCCTACGTAGCCTTTCGGGCAGTTGCACAAAAAACCATCAACAAGATCAGTGCAAGTACCACGAACACATGGATTAGTTGCACACTCATTGATATTGATGTCACAATTTGGACCAGTAAATCCTTTTTGGCAAGTACACGTATAGTTGGCTACCCCATCTGCACACGATGCTCCATATTTACAAGGGCCGTTAGCACAATCGTTATCATTTATTTCACAATAGCTTCCAGAGAAGCCTTTCTTGCAGTTACAAGATTGAATGCCCTTAGAATCATCAACACATGTACCCCCATTATAGCACGTCGTCCCGGCTGCAGCACATGATAATTCCTCCACATCGCATATTGTACCTCTGTACCGACTTTTGCAAATGCACCGGAAATCAGACAAGTCTACGCCAGTTCTTTGGCATGTTCCACCATTACGACAAGGGTTGTTCTGACATCTGTTCCTAGGGTACTGGCAATTGGTCCCTGTGTATCCCGGTGGGCAGTAACAGCTGTATGAGCCGATTTTATCAATGCAAGTACCACCATGTTTACATGGATGTGATCGACACTCATTAAGGTGAATCTCGCATCTGGAGCCAGAGAAACCATTGGGACATTTGCACGTGTACTGGTCGACACCATCGATACATGTTCCTCCATGGACGCAAGGGCTGTTTTAAGAAAGTAGATACGTTAATACAATCATATTTCAAAGCCATGCGGAGATAATGGTTGCATTATTTTCCATAAAAATGCTCATCATCTTGGTGTTCCATTGTATGTGGGTGTACTTCATTTGAGAAAGATTGTTTTTTGAATGAGTGGGATTAATATAAAGAACTGTACAAAGTTCATTCACAGCAATAGTCTCCTTCACGGTTCCCTTCCCAATCTTGAAAAGTAGCTGTGCCTTTACATTGAAGCGAGACCGTTTGTGAACCGCGTCGATGCAAATGCACGGCTACCTTTCAAGATGTCGCAGGCAACCGTGAAGAAGACACACTAACAAGTAGATAATACACTGACCTGGACTGACAGTCATCAATRTTGATGTGGCATCTATCCCCAGTGTACCCTGGATTACAACGACAGATGAATTTATTTACACCATCTACACAAGTTCCAGAAACGCATGGCTTTGAAGCACACTCATCAATATCYTCTTCGCAGTACTGGCCACTATAACCAGGTGGGCATGTGCAAGTGTAGCTATATGCTGACACACTGACACAGGAGGCTCCATTACGGCAAGAGTGACCAACGCAACTGTCAATCATTGTCTCACAATTCCGTCCTATACCATTACAAAACAAAATGATTTAAGGTCATCGTTACAGCAAATCACAGGACCACTATTATGCATGCTGTTATGGTCCCAGGCTACACCACTTAAATATGCATCATGTTTTGTACAACGTAATTACACTTGTCAATAACTGGTTGACTTGCAGTGAAAAGACCCAAACCTTTTATTAACCACTATACGATGATGATTAACTTACCTGTGTAACCTGTTGGACAGTGGCACTGATACTCTGCAATCCCATCAATACAAGCTCCACCATTTCTACATGGTGCRGATGAGCAATACTTAATCTGGACATCACAATGTGAGCCAGAGAATCCTGGATGGCATTTACAGGAGTAGCTGTTTACTCCATCTATGCATTGTCCGCCATTTTTGCAGGCATTAGGAGGGCAATCATCAGGATCATACTCACAATGGTCCCCTAATAGTGAAAAAATAATWATTATTCATTATACAATACTTGGTCATCATAATAGTTGTATGCTGAGTTCATCACAAAATARTTGCTCACCAGAAGCTCCCAGTGGACAATGGCAAGTATAACCATTAACTTTATCATGACATGTTCCTCCATTTTGGCAAGGGCTGCTTGCACATTCGTCAATATCGATTTGGCAGTTTTTSCCAGTGTAGCCACCATGACATTTACAAGAATATTCATTGATCCCATCAACACATGAACCCAAATTATGACAAGGCATCGATGCACACTCGTTGATGTTATTTTGGCAATTTTCTCCAGCAAATCCAGGTGGGCAAGAGCAAGTATATTTCCCAACGAGATCCCGGCAAGTTGCACCATTTTGACAAGGTGACGATTCACATTCATTAATGTCAATTTCACAGTTTCTTCCTGAATAGCCTTGCAAACATGTACAACTGTAGTTTGCCATTTTATCGTGGCACTGGCCTCCATTGAGACATGGCTTACTCTCGCACTCATTCAGTTCAGCTTCACATAATCGTCCAGTCCAGCCTTGGTGACAAGCACACTGGAATTTATTGTAATAATCCAAGCAAATGCCATTTTTGCATGGGCTAGATGCACATTCATCAATATTTATTTCACATCGACTTCCTACAACATAACAAAATAACAGGTGTTATTAAAAAAGTTACWACCATTGTTTGTGTAAGGGGCAGATGACATATTCCATTTTGGGGTTGGTCTGTAGTTTGTATCACAAATCTTAGCAAATATTTGTAATTACTTTATTAATACATTATTATGAAAAAATATCCAACTTACCAGTAAATCCTGGAACACAATCACATACATAGCTACCAGGTATATCTCTACATGTCCCCCCATTGCCACAGGGAGATTGATCTATATTGCAGTCCTGGACATCAATATCACAATTTGGCCCAGTCCATCCACTTGAGCACATGCAAATGGCCTCCCCAAATGGAGATGTTAAACAAGTTGCATTACCACTGCATGGACTTGATGCACACTTGTCATCGAATTGACAAATAAGACCTGCAATAAAGCAAGACAATCAAGTCAATGTTTTGCATACCAGAGCATAATTTAAAAAAATAATTCAAATGTTTACCCGTCTTCCCAGGAGGGCATATGCACTTGTAAGATCCCACTCTATCAACACAAGTTCCACCATGCTGACAAACTGGATACCCATCATCATTCTTGCATTCATCAATGTTAATAGAACAATCTGAGCCTTCCCAACCAGTGRTACATYTGCAGTAATATCCACCAATTATATTGGTACATGTTCCTCCATTCTTGCATGGTTGAGATAGCGTTGAACACTCATCAACATCAASTTCACATCGCTTCCCAGTAAAATTAGAAGGACAGCTGTAAAAATTGAAAGTCAGAGAATCAGTACTGAAAAACATCTCACACTGAAAAGTGAAAATAATTAGATCCCCTGCACATAAATAACCATTTACATGAAAAGGTGTATTATAGCTATTTAACCAGTCAGTCCTAACCAATTTTGTAATGCTCTTTATGTGAAATTGGAGCCTTGGAGAAGTGACATTGAGCAGTTGAAAGTGATTAAAGATAAGGTGGCCCACTCTCATTGAGATTGATTTAAGAGGTATGTCTGGTAATGCAAATATCAAGAGCCACAAATAATAACATTTTTTAGATCTTATCATTCTTATTGGAAAATATTATGGAAGATAAAAGCACAAAAAACATAACCTATAGCCAGTTTATCACAAAACACTTGATTATTTGCAATAGTGAGAGAGAGAAGATAATTGACATAACCACAGCTGTCAATATTAAGTTTTATTATCAAACATACAAATTGTTTTGGTTAACCAGATTACAAAGTGCTACAGTATGTTCTAAGATTGCATCAATTAAAAACATAAAGTGCTCCCCCMAAAAAACAACCATTTTACATAATGCAAGGCTACTAATTTCCATAAATTCCTTCTTTTCTGACCACACTGATTTATAATAGGACTCAGGACACCCTATTGATTGCTATATACCCAAACAAAAGTTGTGTTTTGTAAGCATTGAAAGGTGATTGTCTTCTTGATAAAAAACTCATCCAAGTGTTCAACGCCAGGAGCCAGTGACAAGCCAGCTCAAGTGAAAATGATGAATGATCCATAAGACATAGTCTATAACTTGCTGAGTAGTTGTATCCGAAAACAAAGAAGGCAAATTCTTTCAGAATCTTATCACTACCAGTGAGCCTCTTTGACGATAAGACCTAAAAGTACCCCAGACACAGTTATAATTCCAAAATTACGGCAGATTGTATGGTAATATACCTTGTTTAGAACACATCAAGCTACTTAGAACTCATAAAAGCATTTACAATATCAATAAGGATTATTCTGGAAATCATATCTAAGTAAAATAGCACTTTCATGGGACAGCAATCCATGCTTATGGGGAAAAACATAACTTCAGGAACATTTTATTGTTCACTGGAAATATCTATGAAATAGTTAACTGAGAAATCACGCTTTATATTTTCTGTTGAAAAAATTCTTAATTTATATATAGTACCGATTAAGAACTTTCTCTGTACAAAGCATTATTCTTTAGTTCTCGAATACCCTTTGAAAAGGCATTTTATTTTACGACAWAAAAATGACAGCGTTCATAATTATTCAAAGCGCTTTCGAGTTCATATACTTGACAGAAAAAACTCTCCAAGCCTGAATGATACAGTTCACACATTTGAAGATTTGACTGGTTTTACTCAAAAACTTGAAGGCCTACGCTACGAATGTATGCTTACCGTGTGACAAGGGCAATATAGCCAGCTGCCGGCCATATGCACATGTTACATTGAAAAGACAGTCAAAAAAACAATTGTCACTGCACAATAACAAGATGTCCTCTAGAAACTTGAAGACTGAATTCTTCTGAAATGGCTTTCCGAGGTAAATATATCAGCTTGAAGCCAGGGTATTCGTGCTTATAATAACTAAAGTGAAGTTCGACATAGTTTTTGACGAATTTTCGAGAAAGCCACGAAAAAAACTCGAAATTACAAAGTGTTAATTGTATGCATATTCGAGTCAAATGAAGTCCAAGTGTCACACTTTCAGCCAGTAGAAACAATAGCTAAACAAAACAAGAATTAACCCAATGATGCACGTATTAAATAAAAGACTTAAGATACTTCGTACATTCGCCAATGGTAACAAAATATACCTTTAAAATGCACGTAATGATACAGTCGTCATTTCTAAAACGCCACAAAAGCCAGGCGATTATGATTTGTTGCCGATTCAACTTTTTAGCGGCTCTAAAAAAGAAGTTTAGCTGGACAAAAAGACACACAGAGATTGCCTTCGCCGCGTGCCTTAAGTCCCTTAAGGTTGTCCTACTAAATTAAATCTCGCATTTTCAGTCAGAATGATACTACACGCAGCGGCGTTCACTTAAAGGCGCTAAATATGTCAAGCTGTTCCTAAAGAGAGTTGTTCGAACATAACGTCGGATAAACAAGTCGGTCAAGAAGATTTGATTAAGGATTCATAAAATATTAACTTTGGTAAACAACACAGCAACAGAATAACACCGGGAGCACCTACTTTTACTAGTTAATAAAGTRTCTTAGAGATTTTTAACCTTTTGCGTAGTGATTACTTTGAAAGTCATTTGCAGTTTCTTATTAGCGCGCGCTTTTCTCACTTACTCGAACTTTTTCCATTGTTTTGTGTTRACAAGAAATACTAAATATCTCCCACCGAAATGACTCTAGATATGACAAATATCGAATTATTGACTATCAAACTACTTGTAAACCCAAAACTCTGACACCGAACAAGTCAAAATAAACAAAGGYTGGGAAGGTTTTCGGAAGCCAAGCTCGAGCTGGGGAGCTTTCTCTAACAAAACAGCGCTCGTGTAAGCTCAAGTCTTTGTTCGAAGCATTTTAATGCATTGTTCTGGCGCGCAATAACATTTGTCGAAGCCCAATTCGAATTTCTTTGTACTATAGAATCAAGGCTTAAATGTAATCCTTCACTTAGCCGAGTTATGTTGAGCTGATGTGCTTTGAACGTGTCTAGCTCACATGCACGTATAGTGACTCCAAAACGCCTCGCAAAAGATATCCTTGTGCGACCTAGGTGTTTATTATCTAAAAATGACCAGCGAAGTTTACACCACGTCGAATAAATACTACGACAAGAATTTGTAATTAGACTGGAATTGAGTAGAACGAAAAATCTAATTATTTATTACGATATGGTTTCGCCTTTTTATAAACACAATCGAAAATCGCACATTTCAACACATCTCAGCAATAGTGTTTTGAAATCGATGAACTATTGTGATCTGTGGAAGTTTGTCAATAGCACAAAAACAGTTGTGAAGACGGATTGAATTATTGATAATTTGTTGTCCGATGCCATGGACTTTTGGAAAAGCTTGGCAAAACACGTAGGACCAAGGTTGCCATAGATTTYCCAAAGAAATAAGGMAATCGTGTCAGTATTATTTACTCTGAAACGACAACTGTTGCGAGGTCTAATTTGTCCGAAATCATGAAATCTGAATTCTTCAACCTTTTAAACAGTAACATAAGCTTAAGTAGATTGACTAATAAGTCCCCGGTAATTTTCTTATAAGAGGCAAACAGCGCCCCACCATACGAAGGTTTTTACTTCTAATCAAGTTCATTATTAATGAGGAAAACTAGTAACGTATACATTTTAGTTGATTCTCTTCTAATGAGCCCACAGAAGGAAATCACAATGGACCAAACAAGCGCCTCTTGAATGCAATTTCTCCTCCTCCCTACCAAACGCTATTAAAAGCCAAAAAAGTTTCCAAAGAAATCCGGAGCTTTGTTTAAAAGTATTCGGGCTGTCAAAGGAAGCTCTTATCACAAACTAGCTTCACGTGTTTTAGTTTGCTTAATTATTACAGTAAAAACGCACTTGCGGCAAGTAAGAGGACTCTAACCTGCAATGCGTGGAACCATTGACGATCGAGCACGCTCCTCCATTCAGGCACCAACCAGTTGTACATGTAGAAACTAGAAGATAGAAAAACAACTTTAGTACATCACTTTTCGACTTTTAACTTATTTACATAGTCGTGATAGTATATTCTGAAATTGAGTCCCAGTTCAGCTGTTTGACTACTAGCCAGTTACAATAGTAATCATTGCCGTTAACTCATTAAGCATTTTGTTATTTTGGAATCTCTAAAGATTGAATACTTAGGACATTAATTGATTAGCRGGAGTTTTATTTCCACTAGGGAAAGCGAGAAAGCCTAAAAAGCTTTAGGCCTACTCTCCCAGCATGAGAATAGTTCAACCATACCAAGCAACAACTCTTTCAAAGTCTTCTAGAATAACTCGAGCTGACTAATTTGTGCACATCGAATCACCCTCGGCTATTACAGATCTCTAAAAATTCATCATAATCCGATACACTCTTGGCATTCCAAGACATTCGCTATGCATGGAGTCTATCGTGGCGTCAAGAAGATTGTCAATGTGTACTACTACAACGGCACTATCGATGCCGCCGTGCTCACACGACCAATATGCCATTTCGCTGCCAGAAGAGACGATGGGCCCTTTCCAGCCCCCAAAAACTCCTGTAATACATCGGCAAAATCGAGCCAGCGACGTGAAAGTTAACCCCGACTAGATATGGGATTGTCTTTTGGCGGTTGGCTGTAGACACGCACAAACTTACCTGAAACATTCACGGCAGCCACTATCGGAATTAGTAGAGCAAAGGCCGTTATCAAGGCCTTCATTTTTGCCTTCCACAAGCTTAAGTTAGCGACTAACTCTGTTTATATCTCATTGGGCGATTCATGTGTTTGGACGAAGTGTTAGACAGTGTTCCCTATGTCAAACGACCAAGAGATAGAATTTCACTGAACTCCTCACWACCGATTAGTTAATTTGCATGTGTTTAGAAGAGTATGTCGAGGGGGACCATGGGGCCCCAAGTTCATACACTACTCGTCCAACCGCGTCGGCCATTCATGCACTTAATAACAATGAGCCAATCAGACGCTGGCGTGTGACGGCCCGATGACAGTTAATAGTGACACTCTGACGTTTGCTTATATCTGCTCGGCTGAATATTCTAGCTCGATTGCAGCTCAAAGTCACTCACTTGATTTTTAAGCCCTAAGCTACTTGAGGCCGAATTCACGGAGTCCGAAATCGAAAGACATAACAAATGTAATTTCACACAGTTATTCGTTTACACCCTTAACATTCTGGCCGGGGGGTAGGGGGGAGGTAGCTTGAAGGCTCCAATGACTTCCCTTCTAAAAGCTCCGTATGCATGGCTATCTTTTACGTAAGCGGAACTCGGAGAGTGTAATCGTTCGAGAATACAAGATCACGGATACACTGTATCTATACAATAATTTACCAGTTTGTCAGAATGAGATTGGTTCTTTGAGCGCGTTTAGTGCTAATTTTAGTTGTTTATAGTGATGATGACTTTCACATATCCTTGCGTTTCTATAACATCACGTTTCCATAACGACTTATTTTTCAGAAGTAAAAGTATATTACCTTCTAATGATTTTTCGTGAAAAAAAAAAACGCGTCAAAATGTGAAACAAAATACCGAAATAAAAAAACAAGAGTACTATATCAGTGGCGATACGCAGACCGCGAGTTGAGCCCCGCTAATCGCTGAATCTACTCGCTGACAGMATACARATCGGAGCTACACCTAAAAGTGTTTGACAAGTGTAAACAAGTAAGCAAACGCACACTGCATGGTTATATAACAAATCATGTTGTTCAATCAATTCTGCATGTTATTTTTTAAGGGAACTTGTGAGAGTATCTTTTAGTTTTACATTTCTCTTTTTCTTTTAACGGACAAGAATCGACTATGTCTTGATAAGATTTCCTTAGATACATGTAAACAGSTAGTGACATAGGTGATCTTTAAAATAAATAACCTTTGAATAAAGATACTTTGATGTAATGCTGCAAACACGGCGCCTAAACCTTGCATAAATTATTCACTATACAACCACTAAATAACTCGCTCTCAACCGAGTTGACTCCTAGCTTGCTAGCTGACCTTATCACGGCTATTTTACCGTGCTTAGCTTAACTGACAAAAGCACACAAGGTAGTGAAGTGCGCATTCAGTAGAAAAAAGCCATTTTTCAGTTCTTTGAACGGTCCAAACCTCACACGTGTCTACTTGCCAGGCGTTCTAGGCATAAAAACAAAGAAAAAACTAGTACAAAAACTATATGAAAACTGTTTTGGCACATTACGTGGTCCGAAACAACAGGCTTAGGTAACACAATGAAACACGTCCTAGAAAAAGAAACTTTATTTGTTTAATAGTAATTGTACTGTAGAAAGAGCTGAACATTGAATAAAAAACGCGTTATATATGGAGAAAAAAGTTGGTTTGGACGCTCAGACACAACACTACATATCTTAATATATAATATACTCATTTAGTTTTCAAAAGAGCTCACAAACCTCTCCAAAGCCAGAGGTTTAAGATGCTGGTCTGTTAATCGTGAATATTTGAAACTCCGGGGCTTATATCAATTTGAAGTTGTCAAACGCTTTGAGCGCAGTGTTTTGTTGAAGGAACGGAAAATTTACACAAAATCTAAAAGTTATCAATCAATCTTTACATGTGGTAGAGTTCCTAAAACATTTTTGGAATTCCTGTTTACACTGAAGTAAAGTGGATTTCAAAACGTTTTTGATGGTTAGTTTCGCGCTCTTTTTGGTCGTAATTGTCAAAAACTTCGTTGTTTTGTACATTTAGGGGAAGCCGAAGTGCTAAACTCAGGCAATAARCATGTTCTAATTTTGTTACAATTAAAGGCGTGTTCGTATAGTTTGTTTTCAAAAAGGGTGTGGAGTCTACCTCTTTTCCTTTAGTATTATGATAGCATCAAATAGAAGTCAGATTAAGAGAAGTTCAATGTCAAAGAGATAGTCCAAGTGATTGATGACCTATTGCAAATGGTAACAATTGCCGACGTTGTAATGTASCCAACGGCSAACAAATCATCCAATTTGATCAAACGTTCTAGAATTCAAAAGTATTTTTTTCACAAGTAGATCGAACGTTCTTTTTTTTCTTTCGTTTTAAGTTCACTTCTCTCAGTTTTTTTACTATTTTTTTAAGGTAACAATGAAAGCAATGTGATTGTATATATTTAGCTAACAAAGGGTTTTAATCGATTTTGTGTTTTAATTGTGTGTTATATCACCATAACAGCCACTGAAAAASCTAAATGACTTCAGGTGAAATCGATCAAAGAGGASCGCTTTTGATGTTCTTTGACTACATTATTGCATGCAGCAAGATTTTGATCGACACCCCCCAAAAAATAATAATGGAAAACGCAATCTCGAGATCTTATCAGTCATACTAGTCCCGCTAGGAGTGATAACCCGAATGGCAAATATTGCATGGTGATCTGTTTCTATAGCAAAAATCCCGTTGTTTGAACTTCTTTTGTCTTAAGTTGTTTTTCAGCAATACGGCTATTGATCACGTGATGCAAGAATGAGTTAACAGCACGTGCATGGMTGTGAGTCAGTGTAAATGRGAGTTTTTTTCCTTCGTTCTTCATCCCAGCACATGTGCTATTCTTGTATTTTTCATTTTACTGTTTTAAGGTAGCTACCGCAACCGAATACTCCAATGTCATTAAAAGCCTCGAAGCCACTCTATACGCTTGAAACGAATGACAATTTGTCCGTGGTTCACAATTGAGTGATTCTTGAGYGATCTTATCAAATTTATAATCCTATTTCGAGTCCGCAAGACGACGTAGGCTGTCACAAAGAAATAACGAAAAGTTACGTAAATTAAACTACGTAATTAAATGTTTGTGCGATTTTAAAAGACGTACAAAGGAACCATTTCGCATTACAACACACAATCAGTACATATCATTTCCATGTCAAGTTTCCTGACATTAARTGAACCCTTGAAAACTACTTCGGGCGTGACTTGAATTCAACTCAGCTGCCTACTCAAAATGAATTTGATTGGATTTTTTTTTTTTTGTGAACGAGTTGTTCAAATTTGATATCTCAACGTTTAGCTTATAGGTTATCAATTCAAAGGACACTGTAAAGTTGTTTGCAATCGTCGGACAATATTTTTTCAGTTATGATTCAATCTTCATATATTGTTGTTCTTTGTAGCAGGTTAAAATGTTTGATAAGCTATTTGCATTCAGGTTGAAGATAATACGACTACCCGTGCAATGCTGTATTTCGMAGGGACGGAGCCCATGACCGACAAGCGTAAAACAATAGGCACACGTGATGCCCACCGTTTCAAAGGATGTACCATCTTTCTCTCACACAGTCTCTATACCAATCGGCCAAATGGCCAATAAAGAAAGCACACATCTGAACAATTGGCTTGCAAATGGCACGTTTGTACATTGGATCGATCAAATTGGGCCTGTAGCATTTGAGACCATGGCACTTCATAAATTGGACGATACAGATTAGTTTAAATCCCTCTGGAAGATTGAGTTTCATATTCCGTTCAGTTAAGGATTRTGTTTCATTGATTGGACCGATGTTATAACATGATTTGAACGATTTATATCAAGTCCAGCTGCATCAGGTGAGCCGTTTATTGAAAAGATTAGAACTACCAAAGCAAAAGGTAAAAAGTACAAAATGTACGACCGAGACATGACACTTCAGTTTAATTGGCTTAAAAAGTCAAAGTGAGGCCGTATTATCACGAACTCAAAACTCAATATTTCAAATATTCAATAGTTTTTCTTAATTTGATAATTATCATTGATATAACCCCCTCCCGACTTGCGCGATTGAGTGCAACAACCTGCGTGTTTTTAATTTAGCCACGAGTTGAAGCGTTTTCTAAGTAAAACAAGCCAAATAACTAAGGCTTTTGCTTAAAAATATAAAATTAATCTATTTTTAGCAATATATAGTCTTCAAMCAAAATCAAAACAAATATAGATAAGAGAAAAAAATATTTTTCTTAGTCAAAATATTTTTGGAGTATTTTGTTTTTAAATTCGTAGTAGAAATTTATTTCCCCATGCGTGCGAAGACATAAATATTTTTGATTAATACCTTCTTATTTAATTCTGGCAACATTATTTCATCCAAAAATCTCTATAAAGCACAGTTGGTTAGTAAAGTTACTGCTTTCTCTTATTGATTTAATTAAGCAATAAATGTACTACGCCATTGTCTCAATTACATTCAAAGAACTACAAAACTTTTATGAACACCAAAAAGCATTCATGAAGTTCTTTTGTTTCGTTCAGATTAATCTTGAAAAGAAAACGTTCGRCCATTGTGCACTGCTTTGATTTGTATAAAACWCAAACACGTGGACATTGAAATGGCTAAGAAAAGAATCATTGGCCACGTTATAAACTCTATGAACCTGTGCTTTCATTGACTGTGAGTTAAGGTTTCTTTTTATAACTTTGCATAACGCTACCTGCTTTTTAGTACCGTTCAATCCMACACGAGTAAATCACTAGGGCAAGCGCTGTACGGTAACCAGTTTAGCGACCGCAAGTACCGACTTTTCAGGGGTAAAAATGTCAATATTACAACTAGTGAATACCTCTATATTTCGGGCACCTCTATATTTCGGACACCTCTATATTTCGGGCACCACCGAACCTCTGTATTCCATACACACCGGTTCCATATTTCGGCGCATGCATACTGACTTTGGACATTTCGGACCACTCTAGCAGTGCAGACCTCTCTATTGCGGACACCTATATCAGTACTTGCACCAATTTCTATATTTCGGATACCCATACCACACAGTTTAGGAGGCAGATACTTTTATATTACAGAGACCCCTATAGTTTTGATACCTCACTTTTATCATTACGAACACATTACGGACACCTCTATGATGGTTGAAGCCATTTCTATATTTTCGGATATTTAACTCTATATGATGGACTCCAGTTTATTTTACTGTCACTCGCTATTTCTAGTTTCTGATATAGAAATGGGCGCGCGGATATACGGATTTTATCTTCGCGTGTGTTGAAAAGATCTCTCACGATTGAGCGTAGCGAACGAGTGAGGGATTTTCAACACGAGAAAATAAAATTTGAATCTCCAAGCGACCATGTAATGTTCTGTTTATCATATACTTATTATATAACAGCAAATTATGTCGTAAAATACCTTTTCCTTACAAACAATTTATAGAGAAACCTCGAATGTAGTGAACTWTTCGAAAGAGAGAAATATAGGTATGCATGATAAGTAATTATACGATAAACCTCTCTTTCATATAATTATCTACAAATTTTTGTGTATCAAACGTTTTCCGCTAAAAACATTCAAAACATTTTCCGCAACGCTCACTCGTGAGAGATCTTTTCAACACTCGAAGATAAAATCCGTATCTCCGCGCGCCCATGTAATATCCTTTATTTATTACTTCCCTGATCCTATATAGACAGAGTGCTTTAGAGAGGGTATTTTAAATAATAAACCTCCTGKCCTGATCTCCAAACTCCTCGAGTAAAAATAAATYTYCTCAATTTTTTCAAAACAACGTGGACAGGTTTGGTTGTTGATCTGACATYGGTCAAAAAAACATATTGATATGATGCAGTGTACATGCACAATGGAATCAGAGCAAGGGGTGCGGACAAGGTCATAATGTAAATATGACATCGTTAGGAATTATCAACAAAGTTATAAAAATAGAACTAGTGATATAATTAACATAAAGCTTATAATATTATTAATRTTTCGAGCCGGTTTCCTCTCTTGGTTTATAACTGTTAAAAAAGCCTTTGGGAAACTACTAATCTAGATGATCGAAAGATAGGGTGGAGGGGAGGGGGGATGTGTTACACTATACATTTTACATTTTATTGTTCATCGATCGAAGTAAGATGACGTTGCATAACTGATATTTCATGAAGGGTTTTTGAGCCGGCTTCCTTTTGGTTTATAACTGTTCAAAAAAGCTTTGAGGAAACTCATAATATTTTGAGATATTGCCGGGAGCAATCTAGAGTAAAGAAAGGGTGGTGGGTTTGAGTGGGGTTATCCAATGGTACATATAATATTGTTCATTGTTCATTGTTCATCGATCGAGTTAAAATAACGCTGTAATCATATCTTGTGACGGTGTACGCATTAAACTTTTTTTTAGTTTGGAGGTTATCCTAAAGCATATTTTCAGTTAGGCTGAAATTTCGTAAATAGTAATACATTATATAACGGAGTCATTTTTTTAATCAAGACTTGCGCGATTAAGCACAATCTCTATAGTACTTTTTCACGCTTTTAGATTTTGTATCCTAATGCTTGTACTCAACTAGTATGTTTCGCGCTTTTGCACTCCGACTGCGGGACCCGAGTGTGAACTCTATAAAGATATTGAGCTCATGCTATATTTTTTGTAGAATTGACCATAAAACTATATTATAAGGAAACCAATAGTCACTGTTTCACGGATTTTAATCCCGTAGCTACGTAAAATCCGTGAAACAGTGACTATTGATTTCCTTATGATATAGTTTCATGATGAACTTATATAATTAGTGTAACTAATAACGACGTGATACACTAGGGACAATCAAATTGAGGCAATGGTAAAAGAACTTATACATGAAGCCACGGTTCCACCTTATTGCTTGTACTATTAGTCACAAAATAAGKACTATTAGCTAGTACAYATTWTGTACTATTTCACCTACTATGAAGTGCGAGCWCTCTATGACTCGTGGATTTGTCTTGATTAAGTAAAACAGTGTTTAGCTCGTGCGATCCACGTTCAACTATGGAATGCTTCGTGTATCAATGAAAATGCTTGTTGGATTTCTATACATTTTTTATGATATAACCATCTTTACAAAATGTCTAGTATTGGTCATGCAAAACTGAGCTTGGTCAATTTGAAAGGGTTTTCGTGGGGACGACGCTGGATATGGTTTTATTCAATGGCTCTCTAGGGGCGCTCCTATGACGCATGATAAAACTATCTTCCTATAATAWCAGTCTTATCTTTAAAATACGTACAACACAAACGAAACGAAWACTAAATGACAAACTTTACAAGCCACTCCTTCAAGAAGGAAAGTAGTGATAAATTGTTATATTAAGAGTCGAGGTGTGTCGGCGTCGTACCCTCGTATTACGTCATAGATCTAAGAATCCCACAGTTGGACCTAATTACGTACGTATAATTCCTACAGCACACATTCATGGGTCATTCATGTATTAGTGAAGGACAATGAAGACCTCCACTGCAGCTGCACTACGTTATAAAAAGAGCTTTATTGTGATGCTGATCAGATTTTGTTTTAAAAGCCCGTGAAGCATGTCGGAACAGCATGAAACTTGTTTGTCTTAATTTTACAGAAAAACAAGCGAACGTCAGCTACGGAAAAACCCCGGACGTGACGCAGGCGACGGAGTAAGGATGATGTCGCTCATCCTGTTGCCAAGTAAGTAAATGCAAAGGGCCTCGACCCTACCTTGAGCGCCGAGTAACAGGGCGTTAACCACGATCACGTGGTTTRTATTTATGAATTATATATTCATTGGAAGAATTGTATCGAATCAGGCATAATGCATACCCATCAGGGGGTTGTATCAATGTCGTTCCATAAATTATAATTCTATAATTTATAATTGTGTGGAGGATAGAGCAAGCACACTGTAACAGTATTATAAAATATAGTTTTTTCGCATTACTTGAGTGGTAAACTGAGGAATTGTGCTGCGTCCGTRWAGTAAAGTCCCGCGAGTTTGTTRAACGGTTTGCGATGTCGTTACTGCTTTTAAAGTRGTTACGGTTCCACGTGACATCTGAGATTYTGGCTCTTTGTTCACTCAAAACATGTCTGGYAAACTTTGCAACCGTCARCGCGCCGATTCRTGGAGCAGGTTGCAAAGGTCAAAAATTAGCAGAAATTTGCTTTCAAACTAAAAGRAATGAGTGAAAACATTTTGTCATCGAGATCTCTAGCTATATTTTCKATTATCATTATGAATTATGTCGTTGCAATATTGAGTTTAAAACGTTTTAGGATTACTTTGTTGCATCAATGCTTCAAACTTTTGATTATATTCGCGCTTGGGAATAAAAAATGAGCTCAATAAAATGAGCTCAATATGAAACATTAATATACAGAGTGCACTAGCGGTAAAGCACGCGGGGGTGTTGAGAGAACACGAAAAAATGCCTACAAAATCACAAGCGCAGAAAGCGGCAATTCATCCTTAGTTTATTACTTTTATGATATTGAAAGCTAGTCATGATCGCAAGCGTCCTTTTACCGGCGAAAYAAAACACGCTCTTGGACCAATCAGAGCGCTCGTACTATCACATATGTATATCGTAATACTCTTTCAGTTCCACGCTTTGTCTTTTCGGAGTGTCACTATGTTACGATTGTTACACTTTGTTTCACGGGATAATAAATAAAAAACACCACACCGCAAAGGATAAACCGAATAAGTCACTTTTAGTCATTTGATAAAGGAAGTGAAGAAAAATTTAGTAAATTTCATTGCAAAAAAAAGGAAATTCCCCGTAATTTGACAGAATGAAGGTCTTAAGTTTTAGGCGGATTAGATATTCTAAGAACAGATTGTGAATAGTCAACAAATGTACTGATATCAATGTGCACTTTGCTGAGGTCTTATTCTTTTCCGGTCATCAATMCAAAATACGGCAAACAGATGGCATGTCTGGCCTGTTTCCGCATGCCAAGAAAAAACTAAACAAGCTTAGAAATTGTCGCCGGCAAAATTCTGYATAAATCCACTCCTCTGATACGATGAATGGCGTTTAGACATGCAAAAAGATAAAGAATTTGTTGCTTGACAGATTTTTAGGCAGCTTCCAGTTTGATTAGCATTTTGGGTTTCCTGTGGAAAATTTTTAGTTACATGATGGGTTACCTGTGGATTTGATTTGACTATAAGGGACTGGGTATGAAAATTTCTAGTTAATTTGTTTTTACGTTTTTAACCAGTAAATCATCTATAATATCAGTAAATCGGAGTTTGTTGGAATATTTTATCATCTAATACTTCGTGGTGGTTCTTGATCCAAGAGACGACTGCACATTGCTAAACCACTTCCGGCTAAAACATCCCATTGTTCTCTCAAAACTAATATGCAATACTTCCGGTCGGAATAAACCCCACAAAGGATTGAATTTCTACTCCTATCAAAGTACCTATAAATCATTACACTTCCACAACTTATCCTGAAACAATCATATTGTAATTGAATGRCATTGGGGTCTCGTGGTGATAGACGACGACTTTAATGACCTGCGGTTGTTGCGGTAGTCTAGACCACAGGAAACCCAAGATGTTACCTTAACTAGACGTGCGTAGATGACATGCATCCGGTAGCTTCTTTTAGTCAAATCCGTCTTTACTACAGAGAATTGATTCCATAGCTGCCGCAGGCTAGACGAAAGTCACTCTGTATTTGCTCCAAAACCTCAATAGAAATTATTGGGCTTCCTGTGTCTTTTTTTGTGCCTAAAGACTCTCTGGACTGCAATTGGTTGTTTTTCAACTAAGGAATATGTTTGAATGGCACAATCTCATTTCACCGATTCGAAAGAAATGCTTGGGTTTGACTCTTCAAATTTGGACCGCAGGAAGCCCGAATGTCAATTTTCAAAAACAAAACAAAACGTAGTCATCTTATGAATTGGGAAATATTAAACACGTGCGGAATGACTATTCGGTTCACCACAGGAAGCCCGAATGTCAAATTTATTGTACGAGCACAAGAGAAATGCTTCAACTTACTGTGGTGTTTTCTTCTTTGACCACAGGAAGCCCAAATATTATTTTTGCAAACAAGGCTGTCATGGATAGGAAAAATAGGAAAATGTGGGTTTCCTGTGGTGTTTTTTTGCACACGTACAAGCTATCATGTTTTAAACTAGCACGAAGATTTATGATTTGTATGAAGACAGACACTGAGACAGTTAAAGTGTCACGACTTGAAGAAGCGCATCAAAATTTTATATCACACAGCTCCAATAAATAATTGAACCTTGTCTTGAACCTTATATTTTTATAACTCTGGGATCCCTATGGTGACCGCACGCATTCTATTCAGTCTATTCAAAGATCTTATTGTCTCTGAGATTTCACTGACAAATAAAGCCGGTAGCTAGATTAGATCAACTAAGAGCTTTTTAATTGTTGGCTGTGAAGAAAAAACTAGTAGTAATTGCTTTTTTTTCTATAGAAAGTGAGACCATTACAATCTATGAATTTTACGCCATTAAAACGAAGTTCTTTAATTTCTTAATTGAAAAGAACGGCAGAAATGGAAAAATAGAGAATGCTGTAATTCTATGAATTGTCAAATTAGTTCAGTATTCAGGCATTTCTCATTATTCCTATTAGCAATTAGTTTATTCTCATTCATTCAGTCATGTATCCATTCTTATTCAATTATTGCTTATAATCCCTCCATCCTTGCATTCATTCATTTATTAAGTCATTAGATAACTTCATGAATCTGTTATTTAGACTGTGGTTTTCATAAACCAGTGAACAAAATGTAAAAATGAAATTGTACTAATTATGTCAGTGTGACACACCGAAAAGACGAACAAAACGTGCACAATGAAGAGCAGTATGCAGTATGCCAGTAGCTTTAATGTCTTCATTCACGGTTTTATAACGACAATCATTCTCGCACATTTACATTAAAAATCCATCAAATTAGAGCCAACAATATGTTCACAACTGGATTAGATTTTTATCGATATTACAATCAATAACTTTGCTATCACACAATCCCATAAAACGAATTAACTATATACAATGGCCTTTCACATCATAGAATATTAGAACATTCGGTCTTCTTCTTACGATTTCTTTTGGATTTGACATCTTTAAATAAATGCGGGTTTTTGTTTGTTTGTTTGTTTGTTGTTGTTGTTGTTTTTTCAGGTGTAATCGGCAATTAAAAAAGCATGTAGCCAAGTGATAATGTAATTTCCGCGATACATTTTCTTTCATTTTTCACAAATTGTTTAATATGGCTGAAAAAAATTGTGTTATTCAAGTCTTTCTGATTTCAAAATGATGTCTTAAGTTCTTCAACTCATTTCGAAAAATTCAATAATACATTTTGGTGACCATTATCTGGAGACTCAGTTTTCCTTGTACATCTTACTCGATAAGGTGTGGTGAAATGACTGTACTCAAGGCATTAATAAGCAAAAAGCTGAGATGTTCTTATAAAAATGTCCAAGTAGAAAATCATAAATGAGATTACACTAAGCGCTGTAGAAATTCTAAGAATTAATTCTGCACTAACTTTAATAAACTTTAAGATTTACCAATTACAAAAAGTACGAATGGCTTTTATAGAAGAGCTTCTCAAAATAGAAACAATAGGAAAAGAAAAAAATTCACAAACATTCACAAACATGCAAACGGCTTTGAATGTATTGAAAAGGTATCTCATTGATGCTTTATTAAGGTTCAATCACACGATATTAACTCTCCAAAGTGGAAAATTCTCAGCATGTTGAATTTGCTATATATAGACCACATTTAACTGACTGTGCGCTTCGGACATCACTAGCTCTTTCTTCCACTTGCTAAATCTTTGTGATGAATTTTTCATTGTATTTAAAAGGAACTTATAGGCTGAAGGTATTGTTCATAAGAAGAAAATCAAAACCCGCTTGCACCTGCGCTGGATATATCTTGGCCAATCCACGACCTTAGCCTGCTCGTAGCTGGGCCTCCAATCTGTCTGTTTACTAAAGAGGCGCTTTTTATAAGCTCACTTTTCATTGCTATGGCRATATTTGGATATATATCGCAGACGTGTATTGTATTTGAGTCGTAGCTCGCAGGCCTTCCAACCAAGTGAGTGACGGTTTTGTRAGYGTGTYAACCATGGTAAACATATCCGTTGCTGAGGGCAAACAAGCCGAGTGGAGATTAGATTTGACACGTCTTTTGCTCATTCACTTAGATCGCTGCCTATTCAAAGATTTTGYCTCGTAACATATGTGGCTGGCATATGTTTTAAAGCAGAGCAACTCCCCATATAAGGGACTGTTTTTTGGTTCAGTCAAAAAAGGAAGATTCATGCAACATGCAAACAAAGTCCTATAGTATCAARTGAATTATTGAAAGGACTCTTGCTTAAAATTTTCAAGGGAATTCTAAGAACGTTAAATTGTGATTATTATTCGAATTGTAGAGAGAGCTTTAGATTCATCTCCGTTTGTTGTGTTTTGGCACCCTCTGAGCYAAAAAGGGTACTGAATTYGAAAGGCGTGTTTCTCAAATGAACTCGCTTTAAATATTCATCCAAATCACGAAATTGAGTGCAGTGTTTTGAAAAAGATCTACAGCATTCAAGCGATGAATAAAAAATGATATCGAGCAAAAAAAGTCTGGTCAAAGCTCAACACTTATTGTTTGCAAATGCCGCTGTCAAGTCTAGGTCTTTTGTAATACATATATGCTTTTAAAAAGACCTAAACTAGCTTATAATTGAATAAAACAATAGGCTATCCTACAGGGAATTAAAGGCAAGGAATCTTCTAAGAATGTTGCTAAAAATGTGTCTTATTTAAACTGAATGGCTTCAAAACCTTACAATTTTTTATACACTTGTTTATTTCTTTCTCTTCAGGATGAAAAAGCCAGGGAAAAAGCCAGCTTATTTGACAAAAAAGACGATTTTCGTGGCATTGAGATTTGAATAGAGCGGACTGCCTATAGTCATTGTATTGAGACCTTGGTGCATAGAAGCGTGGAAAGTACACGTGCCAGACTTGAAATTCTTATGTTTTACTGACAAGACTAAACAATGAACAACAGCCATCCTCAACTTCACAGAAAAAAAAAATCAAATCACGCTCTTCTCGTAATCAATTAATACTCCACGAATAAAATCACGAAGAATTCTAATGACACTTTAGTGGTTCTGGATTACTTTTACAAGGGCCTCTGTGTTCGTCTCATTGATATTTGAATCTGTATAAATTGTACAATGTATATTATTGTTCCTGGTCAAGTTTGGATCATAATTAAAAAAAAACCCGAAAAATGTAAAGTTCAATTGCTATTTCTAGAATAATTTCGAGGTTAAATGACTGTGAAGCCCTAAACGTTTAGTGCGATGTGTGTAGAAATATAACGCTTTGTTTAGAATTAAAATTACTGTCAGCTGTAGTTTTGATTTTATAATATTATTCTCAAACCGCAAAGTCATGTCTTTAATCTAAGTATTTTTGAGAAAAACTGATATAAATGAAAAGGATTTCGACTTAAAACTTAAGTAAAAAAGGAAAGCATTTGAAAGTCATTTCGCTCAATCGTTTTCTTTCCTCGTCCGTTTCAAAACAAACCTTCAAGATACTAYTTCTCTTGTAGTATACAGACCAAAACGGCTTGAAACCGAATCCTGAGTTGATTGAGGAAATTACCTGACATTATCCAATCGCAAAAATTAATTTTTTTCGCGTGGAGCCACATAACTACTATCACTACATCAAGTTTAACTGAATTTAATGTTTTCAATTACTACCGCAAGATTTAATGCAGCCACAAAATATTGTTTGCGCCCTAACCGCGAGCCGTATCTTTGGCCAGCTCTAATAAACTAACCAAACATCGCTTTAGAATCAAACTTCAACCTTCAAGCAATCATTTCCGAAAAGCCGCCAACGAAAAAATAACAATTTGAGAGTGTTGACGTGCGAGAGAGAGTTAATCGTCTCGGACTTCGTACARCCTAGAAGTCGATAAAGTCGTACACGTGCACTTGAATATCATGCTTACCGGAGTACGTGTTTTTGATTTTTATGTTATAACTAAAGTGCTTACTTACTTGGATCTATACACACTCTTCCACAGTCTTCGTTACAGATGCAGCTATGTTTCGGGTTCGTACAATCCTTGATGGTTTTACAAGATTTGTTTTTGCAAAATTTGTGTGCAATCCTCGGACTGAGCCTTCCAATACAATCACTGCCTTCCCGTGACTTAAGACGATGGTAAAAGTACCCGGCTGCACAGAGAAATAAGAAATAATCAACCAAAACATTTGTTGAATGGATGGTAATTGTAAATACGATAACATGGGARCTACCCTCAGATGTCAGAGGCACAACAGAGAGTTCCGAGGAAATCACCGTTATAGCACCAACCTGCTTTTTGGTTTAGAAAGATGACCAAAAACCAGAACGAGTTCAAAGTTTTCCACATGCTAGCCTCCACCGGAACCGACTTGATTGTATGTTATGATCTGCAGGGATTGGTAACCGTGTGGCGGGCATCGTCACGGCCTAGTTGCAGTGTCATTGAGCGAACATTTAAACCTTAAAATCCAAGGTCCTGACGCTCGAATACTGTTTAGACTGGTCACGTGTTATATTCTGCCCAATCGTGGCAAGTGTTCGCGTCCGACTGTAGCAGGTGACTCTCTCACTTGGTTATTTACGTTGAAATGCTCACAGTTTTGATCAGCTGAACTTGAATAATTTCGACTCAATTATTCGTTATTAGGAACATAGGACTCGCGCGCGTGGTCCGGCGACCGTGGCTATTGTTCAAACAGGTGGGGACTTTGACACGTGGGCACCAGTCTTAGATCTCTCAATCCAGCAAAACCACCCTTCTTAACACAAACATGTTGAATGATCAATTTATTCGAACTTAGAATTACTTTGATAAGTGTTTGGTAGTGTTACTATTTGATTTAAGGAGTAATATAGTGATTTTAGTAAAGGGCCCTTCATCAACGGTGCTTGACGTACATTTAAATAGGCTTTAAATCGCACATGACTGGAATCTGGTATTTAAAAAATGTAACAAAATCAACGGGTACGGCTCATTTCTATATAAACAAAGAAGTCAAAATATAAAGATATTTAGATTTCTAACCTGGATTATTTTACCTTRAACWCCGTCTGTATCAAACCGCGTGTTTCATTCGTCCCCGAAAACATTGCTACAACAATCGCTGATCGGTGTTTTATAGACACCATAAGAGATTCGACTAGAGGTCAAGATTGTTTAATTCAGGATTTGATCAGCACTAAATTACCTATGGCGCGTTAAAATAACTAGTAAGGCTTCATCCAAAAAAATACATCTCATAATTAACACATCGAAGCTTCTTTTATACAATCCATGCCAAGATCTGTGTACCAAGCCCTCGTCAAAATACCAAGTTTAGAAATTCATTCAAAAATCTGTGAGTACATAATCCCGTCGGGTTGTCTGATTTGTAAGCCTTGTACACAGCAATACACGCGAACCCCTTGTCATCGCTTTTTAATCAGAATTTATTGAGAGTTGATTAAACTCAAGACACGCGTACTGCTTGTCCACCTGCTGTAGACAAAGCAGTAGCACTTCACTAGATCCCTATTTCAATCTGGCAGGTTTGGTGAGCAAACTTAATGTGTGCCAATTGGTTTTGAAATAAACTTTAAACAAAGCGARTTCTAGTTGTATGAATTACAGTTTTTACGTCAAAAAGTAAATGACAAATTTCCGATTTTTACGGTCAAGTTATAGTGCTGCATTCTAAAGGAGTGCAAGGTTTCATAAGAGACAACTTAAGAAGGTGTCTTTTCTTAGCATTTTTAGCTCGCCTTTTGACTTTATTTACATATATTTTATTAGGAATATGCATGAGAATTTATAGACAAAATGTTGTTGACTGTTTRCTGGAAAATTCACAAGTAAATACAAGTAAATGTTGATCAAAAGATCAAGCAGTCATTGTAACCAGAACCAATAACATTGTAAGTCACAGAACAAACTTTCCAGAGCATAAAACTTCGATAAACAATGACGTTTCCCTTCTACTTCAAACATGATTTTTATTTAGTGTGAAAAAGTTGTGAATGTCAGTCCAACTTTTTGGATTATATTTCACTTTAATTTCAAAAGGTTTAGAATTCTTGCCATAATAAATTGTAATTCACCTTTTTCATAGTATCATTGTTCGATTTCTTTGATAGAAACAGTTGTAACTGGGGCGTTGAACGCTCAACGTTCAACGCATTGAAACTTTCTATCTGTTTATATATACACAATGAGTTGTAAAAAAAACTATTTCTTGCACTTATAGGAAGAGAAATGTTTTGGAAACTGGTCAATTAAAAAGATCTGTCAACATGAGTTGTCTTTGTTGTTGTAAAGACTTTTTAAACAACCGGATGAGTTTTMATAGACCAAGCTAAAAACGAACATAGAACCCTTCCAACATCTTGATAAACCTTCGTTTTAAACTTYWAAAAGTACGTTTTTGTACCAAGGAAGAAAAACSRATTTGTACAGAACTGTATTTCGCCAKGCCTAATAGGCCATTCATAACACAATAGGTAGATCACGAAGAAATTGTTCGCCAGTTCAAATGAGTGACGTTTGTTTTTTAGTGATTAGTGCTCAAGTGTKGAACGTTTGACGACTGGTCGAGAACTCTAGTCTTCAATTATCWATGGAGTGGATTAGGCTGGTGTATTGTGCTAAAAGCCTGCTTGAGTTGGAYCTATTGTTTTTTTAACAAGGGATTAAAATACATCGCTTTTCCATGCACGTGCGATAATCAAAAGAAGGTCTTCAAAACAGCCTGATTGTTTATCAAGAATTAATAGTTTTTCTATAGTTTTATTCATATGTCTGAAAGATTAAGGAATTGGAATTTACGGCGAAGAGAAAATTCTGTGCTGAAGAACATATAATACTGAAGAGATTTTATAAAATTAGGGAAAATAGGACTATAGAAATTAGCACTGCATTGCTCTGTTTCCATTCGACCACAGTTTTAATACAGTGACGTCCTCGCAAGCCAAGTACATATATCAATAGTGCGGCCTGTTTTCCGCATGTGACGTATAATTAAACGGAGATGCGGAAGTTTTTCAGTTATGATTCTTAGTTTTTTTTCAGTTTCACTGTTTCCTTCTCTTTATCGCTGGTTTTCACACTCGCGTAAGCATTCCCAGCTAAGCTGAGCTATAAAAAGAGGCATGGAAACTAAACTTTTTCGAAAAAAAAGGAACATGCTTCATTTAATTGGGTACGAAGAGCATTCCAAAGGAACCGGTTTAGTTAGCGAGGTTGCTATGAATTTGGGCGGCTATTTTTAATGATTTTAGTCGAGATTCAGTCCTATTTTGAGTAACTTTGGAAGACATATGCATAATGGTTTGAGAATGATGAAATACACAGACTCCTCGGCACCAGTTAGCGAAAATTTTCCATCTGTCACGCTCTCGCGTGTGGTATTGTTGGATAGTTGATTGTTGTATATTGGTTCTCACAACACAAAGTTGCTTCAGAACTGACGTCATTGTGAAACTGAAATCTTATTATGGGATATTTRAAATAGTAGTCTTAGTCCGCCGGACACTGGATTGCTGGAGTCCGAACTCTTCTCCTCTATGTGTATCAGTTTATTTGTATATAGTAAGGCTGATGCATGCATATTTTTAGYGATATATTGCCGGCTAAATATGCCCCGGACTGCTCATCCCATCCACACGATTCCTTTGTTGTTGTTGTTTTTCTACCGTGTAACCCAACGCATTTAAGCGCTAGCTATACTAGGTTGGTACTTTTTTACACTCTGTCAGTATATAGTAAATGCATACACTCTATGACAAATCCTTCATTATCAATAATAGACCACTGGCAAGTATTACCCCATATGGCCCGCCATATACCATATACGCAATGTATTGTAGGATATGTTTAGGACAAACATGGAGGATTGCTTTAGTTTTCTCGATCAAGAAACTGATCTTTAACAATGTAATGCAAATCAAGTAGGTGACCTAAGGGACTGTGCAATAATTACCAGGAGGGGGGGCGCGTAAAACCAGAGGGGGGCATTACATAAAATTGTTGGCAAGATAGGGGGCTCACAGTAAAATTACCTAATTAACAGAGGGGGTGCTTAACAAAAACAAAAAAGAAGAAATATGAAAAAAGAAAAAAACTTGAGTATTGGGATTCGAACCCATGACCATAAAATCGAAAAAAGGTTGGGACGATTCCCCCGAGACATTCTGTGAAGCTGAGGCGGCGAATCGAGTTACATTCCGGTTAGAGATTTCGGCTCTTCCATGCTATCCCGATAATTGGTCCTAACTTCGCGCTAACTAAAAAGCCAGTGAGGGAGAAGCTATCCGGCCCCTAGACACTGATGGATAACCCCTTGCACTAACTAGGCAACTATCGAAAGTATAATGTCAAATTGGGGTAGTCTATTCGGTGAAAGTGTCAAGTGTTCTATTATTATGTAAATGAGAGTGATCCAGTGGCGCACCGCGTTAAGGCACCGCTTGCAAATCCAATGTAGGTTGACGGTAACGGGATCGATTCCCTGGAGGAGACGTTTAATGATTTTGTTTTTTCCTTTTTATTTTATTTATTGTTTATCTTCTTTTTTTATTTATTTATTTATTTTTGCATAATTATTGTCATCTCTTGTGTTTGGCACTTTCCTGAGAACCGTCTTTTTTTACGAAGTGGATATATGATCGGCTCCCGCTCAAAGTCTTCGATGTACTAACATACTAAATGAGTGCTAGTTTTGTTTTGGCAAAAAAAAATCTTTTATATCTTTAYTAGCAATCYAAAAAAAAGATGTCRATTCATATTATAACGTTCTATTTCGAGCAGCTTAGGGCTTAAAATGTAATGTGTCCTTATGCGAAACATCTCTAATAACTTTATTAGCAATATTGTAATGTTCTATTTCGAGCAGCTTTAGTTTCTTGTCACACTTAGCGTGACGCAGGCTCCCTCTCAATTAAGGTCTTCGATGCACTAAATGAGCGGGAGCTTTAAAATGTACAAAACAAATACCCCCACCCAAGTTGGGGAGGTAGTACCCCCCTCCCCCCGGGAATACTAGCAAGAAGTTGATAATTTGCATACGCTTTTCCGAGCTATACAAATAATACGGGGGTAGGCTTGATAAAAGAAGGGCAAGAAAATTCAACAGAAAGCATTCTAGGTGTTATTGTGGAAAATACAGTCAAATATGTTAAGACCTATAGAGCAGTAAGCAGTATTTGGCGCCATCCTCGTTGGTTTCAACCTATGATAGTAGAGCTTTGCACTTTCCTAGCCCAAAGACATGTTGTATTATTCGAAGAAATATCAAATTAAGTGTCAATAACAT